GAGCGTCGCCGTGGAAGCGCGAGAGAATGTTCAGAAGGTGAACGCATTGTTTCCGAACCGGAGATTTGGATGAGGAGTCGGTGTTGTGAATGCAAGAGAGGAAAGAGGAGAAAGAGTCATGGCTTAGGGTTCGCGCGATGGATTCGAGTTCCGCGGAAGCTCCGGCGAGCGTGTCGCGGTCGGAGAGTTTGTTGAGGCACGTGATGACTCGCTGACGGAGGTTCTGAGTGGACTCGGTGCCGGCGAGTTGGAGCGGGCCGCCGAGCGAGTGTCGCCGGGAAGACATTGTCGCTTTCTTTCGTTGGGTGGCTATGGTCAGTGAGTGGGCATTCGAGAATGGCGGAGAAAGAGCGAGTAACCGCTAAAACGGTGCGTTTAGAGTGATTTTGGCGGCAGTGTTTGGAAGAGGTTTGAGAAGCAAGTTTTGGTTATCGTTGGGATTTATATATGATATTGACGCTGTTGAAGCTGTGCGGTGCGCGTGGATGCATTGGACTTCAGACTTGGATGATTCATGTTTTATTTTACTTTTTTGGGTTTTTCCCGAGTTATCTCTAACAATGTATAAAAAGATGTAAGCCTCTTTTCCGATTGATTTTAAGGTCAGACATGAGATATGTCTATAATTTTTATAATTTTAATCTATTACATCATTTTTTTATAAAATTATAAACTATTTTTTTTTTACAGCAAAATTATAAACTACGCTGTTTTACTATCTGATCTTACATTGCAGTTATTCGTTATTATTTGCAAACATTAGTTTCATATGTTCAATTTAGGAATAAAATCGAATAAATATCAATTTATTTTCTATCTATATAATTTAACAATATATTATAATCTGAATTTTAAATGAAAGGTTTTTGTTTTAATTTCAAATATTTGTAGTCTAAAATAACTGTACACCTCTATTAAAAAAATATCATTTAATAATAATAAAAAATAAGTATTAAAGTCTTTTCATAAATATTATTTTACTTAATAGAAACCAAATTATATATTATTATAAGTTTGCACTAAAATTATATGTGGTATATTACATTAACATTTCATATGATTATACATAATTATTAAAGTTGGTTTAATAATGAATTGAAATAATATGTACATAATTTTAAATTTAAACTTTAATATTGTCATTATAATTTATATAAATAAAAAATTATAGATTAGAATATATATAGATTATCATATTGAAATCTTGAGACTAGCTATCTCATCTTTTAAAGTGTTTCTAACGTAATGAAATTGACGATGGATACTTCAAGGACGAACAAAAAAAAATAAAAATCATATTGATTAAATTGTTCATTACTATAACGTATCATAATTAGAAAAGTTGATAATTAAGTTTTGTAATAAAATACAGTTATAATCAATATAATTATATTTGATAAAATAATTTTTTATTCTAATATTAACAAGGAAATTCTATTAACAAATAAGACTAAATTCAAAATTTTAATATACCCTTTATTTTAAACAAGGGAAAACTTTTTTTCATTTTTATATAAATAAAAATAAATAAAAGAGAGGATTTAGTATGTAATTTAAAGATTAGATAAGAGATAAAATAATGAATAATTTAAAGAGTAATTAAAAGATAAAATAGACCAATAAAAAGTAAAGACTAAAATAAAAATATTTTATTTATTATAGTTATAAATTATAAATAAAGTTAATTAAAACCCATTCATTAAATTAATACTATAAACAAGTGTGTAAACATTTTTATTTTCTCTCGTTTTGATTTATTTGTGATTTGTAAAAGTTTAAAGCATATTAAAAGTAATGAATCAATTCTATAGTAGATATTCATCGATATAGCATTAGGTATTTTATATCTATAGTTACTTAAAGATGTTTATATAAGAAAAAATGAAAAACAAACTAGTAATGATTTTTAGACATCCATGTTCAATTCAACCCCGAGTGAGAGAAGTAATAAAGCGATTTCTTGTATCACTAAAATCATATTATTTCCTTTTAAAATGAAAAAAAAAATAGAAATTTATCTATATATGAAATAGATGGCGATGATTCCAAACTCCAAAGGCTCCACCAACCCGTTCACCCCAAGTTATGCATTCCTACGTGTCTGCTTCAATTTCTGTCTCGGAGTCAGTTACTCACATGCATCAAACACCACGTAGCAGTAGCAATAAAATAAAAGAGGAATGATTAGCATAGGTCAAATGAACTTATGTAGCGTGTTAACGTTTAATCTAATTTTTGATAGCTAATTCCCCAACATTAAGATGAATTGATTATGCACCTCGTAATCATTTTTAATGAAATACTAACCATAGACATGTACCAGAGAATAGCAGCACATGATCAAACCACATGTAACGCAAGAGCATCTGTTGCTTCATGTGGAAGTTGAAATTATTAGACAGAAAAACTACATAAGATAAAAATATTCATTCTTTTTATATTGTAATAATAATCAGAAAAGTATCTTGCAAATCTAATTAAGGAGGACTAAATGTGGAGCATGTGAATGAGGTAAGGATGAAATATATATAATTTGTTATCACATAGAGCTAGCACACAGGATTCAATATTGTATGGATGTCACGTGACCCTCGAATATGGATATCCACTGAATCGTACCCATTTATTTTTTCTTGTAAAAAGCAAAACATTTGGATTTGTTATGGAGGGAGAATGAACCTTTTTTTCCAACTTGTGTTGTGCTTAAATTTGTTTCTGCTCCACAATAAGGGAAAAATCTTTTTCTTTGTCTCTCTAATATAGTAAGAGATTGAGCCTTATGCATAATATTCTCCAACGGAACCATTATCTTTATAAGCAAGGACCCAACCAAAGAATTATGGTTCTGGTGAGTGGTGACTAATCTAACTACCCAAAAATTATGCCACAGTTATGAAAGGTGAAATGAAGAAGGAAAAAAACGAAAAGAGCAAAAGTTGTTTTTATTTATCGTAACTACCATGCTAGCTAGCTAGAGTGGAAAAGACTAAAGAGATTTATCTGCATCTCCGTGATTTAAGTTAAGATGCAGTAATGATTTAAAGCAAGAAGAGTGAGCAACGACAACAGATTATTGGTTTTTATCTATCTATCTACTATATCTACGAGAACCTACAAAGAGTGTTTCATTATTGTACATAACATATACCCCATAATTCATGGAATAAGAAAAGGACAATTGGACAAAGAATAAGATGATGAATGCATGTGACATTGTGACCATTCGCATTCATTTTCGTGACGAAGACTTGGCACTTCTTGGCCTTGTGCTGTAGTTATCACATTGCGGCCACCACGTTTGGGTAATTAAACCACCCATATCATATACATGTACAAGAATTTGGCTATCTCCTTAGTTTTTTGTTTTCACCAACACGTATTAATTCATGTGTTTATTTTCACGTAAATGTTGTTTGCTTTACAACATGTTATGGTATCTACTTAGGTGTGTTAGAATGTGTGCTAACGTCATGTATACAAATAAGACTTTGTTAGTGTTACTTTGGTTATTTTTACCAATTGAAATCAATTAGTCTCCAAATTAAAATCAACTTGAAGTGAAATTTCGTACAATTTCCTTCTGTTGGGGGATTAAATATCTTCGGATAGATTATTTTGGAGTCCATATTTGAATATCGATTTAGAAATCAATAATATACTCAGCATTTCAGCA